AGTTAAAACTCCGCTTGAGAAGGAGCAGGGGAGAGACCGGGATGCGGGGCCACTTCACCCGAAGATCCCCCCTCGCCCGTGTTTTGGATGGTGGAGAGAAAGGCCGGGTTTTTTTTGGGGGGGGGGGAGGAAGGTACGAGGCAGGTGCCCCAACCCCAGGAACAATGAAGGGCTTCCTCGCTTCTTCCCCCTGCGCCCTCCCGGCCCGCTTTGTGTGCCGTCTCCTTCTCCGCCCGACTCCCCCGAATCCCCGCTCCCGAGTTAACAAAGAACCGAGAGACGACCCTCTTTGTCTTTCTCCAAGCGGCAACCTGAGATACTCTCACCCGTCCCTCCCCCATCCAAGAGAAGGTCGATATTTTCGGGAGCGGACAGGCTCCTGCAGTTGTAGGACAGCCCCTCAGCCCCCCGTTTTGGCTTTTAGATGAGCCCCGTCCTTTGGCTTTTCAGCCTGGCATTTTTAGGAGTCACGCAATAAACGCTCGAAGTTATTTACTTGCGCTCCCTGTTGAACGATGCTTGTTTGCACGTGTGAAAGGAGACGGGAGTAATGGTAAAAAAGTCTTTTTTAGGCAAGCCTCGTTTGGGGAGGGGAGCTGGAACATTTTAAACCTTCTTTCTCCCTCCCCATAAGAAGTCATTCCAGATCTGTCTTTCAGCAACGCAGTTAAACCATTGGCTAAGCTTCAAGGATCATGTGTATTCACTCCAAAATGGGATGAGGCAGTCTGATTGAGTTTGGGATGGAGTGAGGGAGTCTGCCCCAAAATCTTGATCTGAGGCCACTCCTGCTCTTTTCAGACCCAGAAAATGTGGATCTGTATAGGAGAGTCCCTCTGAGCATGTACAGAGGAGCTTCCCTGTCCTGGTAGGTGAGGATAGAAAAGAGGGTCTCCCATTCTGGGATCAAAGGTACCTTTGTGATCCTTGTCCCTCTTTTCCCCTCCCCCCTCTGTCATTGCGGCATGTTCCTGGAGTGCAGGACCCTTTCTCCACCTCTTTTTGGCAAAGCACCAGGTACATGGGTTTTGAAACAACAGCCATGGGGGGAGGTGGTCCTGTAAATAAGGGAGCATGAGTTGCACATATCACTTGTTTTAAAAACTTTTCAACTTGCTGCTCTGTAATCTTCTGTGGCTCTGAGAACTGTTTGCTCTTTGAACTTCTAGAGACTCTGATTCTGGGTTCCCGGGTGTCTTTAAGAGTGTCAAAATCTGCACCTAGGCTGACTTCTTTCTCCTTTGAGATTACAGTATCGCTGCATAATTCCTGCTGAGGGAAAATGGCATAATCAGGATGCAGCAAAATAATGTTAGATTTTGGTTTAATGGTCTTATGGGGTGTTATGTGTCAGGTGGTGATGGACATTCTATTCACTTAATTACATTAGTGAAGTAAGGCAGTCTTGCTACACAGAGGAGGGTTGCTTGCTTCTTTTGCTAAGTGGAGCAAACCCTGTTGACCTTGATCAGCCTTTCCCTTTCAATGATAGTCTGTGTCAGTTACGTTGTTAGTCCATCTTTCCGCCAAGGACCCCAGGTTGTTGG